GCCAGTTCTCCCACGTCCTGACACACACACACACACACACACACACCCTCCCCAGCTCTGCCAGTTCTTCCCAGTCCTGACCCACGGCCCCTCCCCCAGCTCTGCCAGTTCTCTCCAATTCTGAGCCGCTGCCCTCCCCCAGCTCTGCCTGTGCACGCCAACCCCTCCCCCCTATTATTCCAGCCCATGTCCCCAGCCAGGCAAGTCCCAGAGGCTGTTTAGTGCCTGTCAACAGAGGGCACCAGGAATTCCTTAGCTAAAGCTCATGGCTGGAGAATGGACTCCAGGTCTGAAAAAGGCCTTTTCCTCCTCAGACTAGTCTGATTCCTGAGCACCCCTGCCAGTGTTCAGCTGGCGCGGGGTATTGCATGCTTGGGGAATGGCCCCTGTGGGTCTTGGAAAGGTTCCCCTCCCAGCCTGCAGAAGGTGACCTGCCAACAAGCAGTGGGGAAAGCCCTCTTTGCAGGGGAACCTGCTGACCAGGGATTTATCCACGGAGTTGTTTCCAGTGGACATCGCTTCTTCCAGGGATGATAGGCACAGACCTGAGCTTGCAAAAGCTGATGCGCTTTTAGGCACCGTGTGGAGAGGTGTCGCAACAAGGAGCAGGCTCTGGGTTGACCACACCTGAGTGATTGCATCCAGGCCGGGCACGCTGCTCCCGGCGAGATACTGACACACTGGAAAGAGATCAGGGAAAAACAAGCAGGATGATCGGGGAGCTGGAGGGACTGGACTCAGAGGGAAGAATAAATGAGATAAATGGGCCGGATTCACCTCTGTCCTGCCCCTTGGTCAGTTACTCCAGTGCAGGGTGGATGTATAACCCTCCTGCTCTGATTTGGGAGCACGCACCTTGTACTCATTTCACAGGGGTGTAAGTGACGACATGAGGTGCAAGTGTAGCAGACCCACGTCCAATTTGCCTGACTCTGCTCGGGCTCAGATTTTTAATAGTATTTAGGCGTTGCTCTGCTCAGTGTTGCTACGCCGAACTCATTCCGGTGCCTCAGTTCGGCTGACTTTCAGTGAGCCCTAGGCGAAGTCAGCTAGGCGTGGCGGCATCGAGCGGAGCAGTGCCAAAATAGCTTTCAAAAGTGGGCCCTACAGCCTTGCCTCGACTAGGGGGAAAGGTGCTTTTTTCAGCTGAGCCCGCTCCCCTCACTTGCAGACCTCACTTGAGGAGTTAAGCTAGCCCCATTACGGCCTAGGCGAGGCCTGCGGAGAGGTGTGAGAATGGGCACCAGTGAAGAGTCTGTATCTCAAGGAGGGAGAGGAATGGGAGGGGAAATGTTGGCTGGACATCAGGGCAGTATCCCTGCCATGGAGGGCTGTGGAATTGTCTCCCAAGGGAAGGGTGGAAGCCTTGCCTGGGACGTTTAAGGCGAGACTGGTCGTAACCCTAGGAGAATATCTGTAAGGACCAGGCCTGCACTGGCTGTGACTGAGGGAGGGGTGGGGATAGCTGGGCCCGTCTCATCCTCTTCCACCTCTAACCCCTGGGATCGGTGTATTCCCCTCTACACCCTGTAGAGTTCTCGCGCCCAGCCTCTGTCAGCGAGAACCACGACGGAGGGGTGGAGTCCGAGAGGCGGGACGAGGACAGCGAGTACGGCGGGTGGCGACGCTCCGAGGCGGAGGATGAGGTTGAGGAAGTGACGACCCCGACCAAAATCAAGGAGCTGAAGGTACAGGACCCGCTGGGCGGAGACCATGAGGGTGTCGGGAGCTGGCTTGGAGAGGTGCCCTCTGTATGGATTGGCCAGGGCAACCCCCAGCCTGCACCTGGAGAGAGAAGGAGCCCAGGATGCTAGAGGGGAGGGGCTGCCTCCCACAATCTGTGTCTGCCACACAGCGGTGCCCTTCCCTGCTGGGAGATGCCAAGACCTCCCTGCAAGGCTCTGGTGCTGGCACTGGCCTGAGATACCTGCTCCCGATCCTCTGCACTCCAAGGTACGGGCTTGCCCATCTTTGTCAGAGAGGGAGACTCTCCTCCTTTCCTTGCCCAGCGGCACGGGGAGCCTCATTCCTTTGTTAATCCACCTTGGGCTCACCCCTGAGATGTCTCCCATACAGCTGGCCAGGGAGGGCTTTCCCAGCGGGATTCCCAGGGGGTCTCGCAGGGAATCTGCCAGGGCCGGCACTGCTTGACTCCTTGGTGGCAGCAGGGAAGGAGACCCATCCCTAGGTATCGCCGTAGCAGTTCTGCTGGCCTCATGGCTGGGCCAGGGAGCAGCTCCTGTTCGGATGTAGCTGGAGAGCGCGGCGCACCTTGCAGCTGCCTTTGGGGAGAGGCAGAGCATTTCGGAGTTGGCCACTGTCTTAGCAGAGGACTGTCTGGGTCAGGGAACGGCAGCTATACTCTGAGCTCCCCGCCTGGCCCATGCGGGAGTGGCATGTAGCCCTGACCAAGAAACAGAGCACTGTCCGCTCTCCCAGTCCTCCTCCCCTCCCCACACAGACACTCGCACTGGACACACAGGCACTCATGCTGCATACGCGGCCACACGCACTACACACGCAGGCACACACACTGCACACGCAGGCACACACTGCACACGCAGGCACTCTCACTGCAGATGCCGGCACATGCCGGCATGCTCACCGCACACGCCGGCACTCTCACCGCACATGCCGACACACGCAAATACTCACACTGCACACGCAGGCACTCTCACCACACACGCAGACACTCACACTGCATGCTCACTGCACACGCCGGCACTCGCACTGCACACACAGGCACATGCAGACACTCACACTGCACATACAGACATTCCCACAGATGGCTATTGACACCAGATACTCACCTACAAATACACCTGCTGTCACAGAAACACACACACACTGGAATACGCTATCCTAGTGATGTCAGTTGAGTCTTAGGGGAGGCATCCAGGCCTGTGGCCTCTCCTTTCTATTTCCATTTCTCAGGGGCCAGGCCCTCGGCGTCCCTAACAGGGAGGTGGGTTTTCTGAAGTTTCACATCAGTTTGTGACTAGAAATCTAGTGGCATCAGAAGGGCACTGCTGTGGAGAAGCTCACACTGCAGGAGTCCCAGCTGGAAGTGCTAGGGCACTGCTGTGGGGAAGCTCACATTGCAGTAGTCCCAACTGGAAGAGCTAGGGCACTGCTGTGGGGAAGTTCACACTGCAGGAGTCCCGGCTGGCACTGCTAGGGCACTGCTGTGGGGAAGCTCACACTGCAGGAGTCCCGGCTGGCACTGCTAGGGCACTGCTGTGGGGAAGCTCACACTGCAGGAGTCCCGGCTGGCACTGCTAGGGCACTGCTGTGGGAAAGCTCACACTGCAGGAGTCCCGTCTGGCACTGCTAGGGCACCGCTGTGGGGAAGTTCACACTGCAGGCGTCCCGGCTGGCACTGCTAGGGCACTGCTGTGGGGAAGCTCACACTGCAGGAGTCCCGGCTGGCACTGCTAGGGCACTGCTGTGGGGAAGCTCATGTTGCTGATTTTGCCCCTGGCATTGCCCAGGGTCCTGTGTTAAACTGAACTGTGATGTATGTGATAACTTCCCTTGACTGACTGTGTCGGTTCCTTTCACCCTCTCTTTGCTGCCAGCCGGAGCAGGAAACCACCCCCAGGCACAAGCAGGAGGTATTCTGTCTCTGGAGCATCTTACTGCCCATTGGTGCATTGTATTGTCCATCTCCTTTAAAACAACAAACACCCCATCCCTTCCCCGCCATACTATGTGTCACCCTATTTACTGGAATACAAGATGCACCCAAGCGTCTCTGGGGAGCCTCCCGCTCCGGAGAACTGTCAGATAAACGTAGTAGCCAAGCACATGGACGCTTTCCCCGAAGCACAAGCAGCATCTTCTATCCCACTAAGTAAGGCAGCTCTCCTCGCCTCATGTGTGTGAGCAAGAGTCCTCCCATGGCGCTACAGCCGGGTCACCGTGCCATTGGGATGTCCTGGCTACTACGCTCTTTACTGACTCCTCTACGTCTTCTCCTCGTGTCTCTTCTGTGTCCAACCCTCTCCTGCGGGCTCCGGCTCCCTCTAACAGAGCAGAACAAGACTCCCATCCCCCAGCCCCATGTCTTCCAGTTCGCAGCGTTATCTCCATGCCAGCCTGGCTCAGAACTCCACATGGCGGCTCCTACTTAGGCTCGGTAATTCCATTGGCGAGGCGTGGGGCGGCATGGAGAGATGCTGCCCCACAGTTAGGTGTTATTTCAGATACAAACCCTCGTGCCAACTGAACCGTTCCTAGGGTTCCTCTTCTAGCGAGAGCTTTGGCCAGGTGGCCTGGCCTGCTGAGTTCCAGGACCAGCTCCAGCACTGGCCTTGGGGAAGTCACTTAAGCTCTTCCTCTGTCTGTTTCACCTATCGGTTAATAGGGAGCATGAGCGCTAGTGCATAATGCTCTTGGAAGATGGGTCTTGTTAGGGAGGGTTATTGCATGGTTCAGTTTCAGCTCAGAACCAGGCTGCTATTACCTAGTCTTCACTAAAGGGCTGTGAGGGTAATTAACCCTTGGCACAATTTACATGGGGATTTGGCGGTCTTTAAAGCAAGACGGGGAGTCTTTCCCAAAGAGATGCTCTAGCTAAAATCCCTGCTGTTGCATCCAGCACAAGGGCAAGCCCCTTCAGTGAGCGATCTGCTGTTCAGCCCCAGCTGGTTGGGTTATTTTCCCAGCTCCTGTAGGGGCCCGGTCCTGTTCCCTCCATAGTGTGTCTCATCCCTCATTCCTTTCTGCATGTGCCATTCTCCATCGCTTGTCATGTGCACCCTAGTAACACCTTGTGCTAGTGATCGGCGAACCTCCGAACGGCCGGTTCTAGGATGCAGATAACATTTTGGATTCTTATCCTAAACTTCTCTGAGCCTCTTGGGTCTGCAAAGTTGGCTGGACTTCTCATGAGAAGGGCCTTTCTCAGGCCTCTTGGCTCCTACAGTCCTGCACAGGACCCAGAAATGGACAGGCTGCTACAGGAACTCAAAATAAGGGCAGGGAAGAAGTTTATCTGAACCTTTTTGAACCTCCAAACAGGTTTGATTTGGGGCAAAAATTGGGGTTGGCGCTTCTTTTTGAATGGGTTTGCTCATCCCTAGTGCAGAAATAGGGGGTCTCACAACCCTCACAATGTTATGGAAAGGATTGGGTCTGCTATAGAGATAGGGCCTGAATCAGTGCATGGACCTGAACACCCCTGAATCGTTATCTTTATAACGGGCCAAACCCAAACCTCTAGACACCGTAGCACTCTGGGGAGGCCCATATGCAAGTTTGGACCAATCGCCAGAATCCAGTTCCAGGGAAGGCTTATGGAAAGTCCAGTAGAACATTTTCAACTGGTTCCAGCTGGCAACTCTGAACAATCGATTGGAACAGATCTGGCCTACTGGCTTCAGGGGTGTTGGGGCATGATGACCCTCCAGCAGAAATTAACAGAGGCCAGTGGAACCTAGTAGAGACTAGTGATGAGTGGAATGGAGGTGACTCCCCTTTGAGTCCCACCGTTCTACTATTACTGAGAATCGGCTAGGATCGGCCTCACCCTGGACTGACATTTGGATCCCAGGGAGCTGGGCTTTAGGATGGGAAAGGGGCACATTGATCAGTACCAGGAAATACATGTAAGTTATGCTGGTCACTTTCAGCTGTTCCCTGGAGCTGTCCTAGTCTGCAGAGTGATTCCTGGCACATTTGGCTCTTGAGATCCCAAATTCAGGCTCAGCATGAAGCAGGCCCTCCCTTCCCCGCAGCGATCCGATCTCTGCCTCGCTAGTTACCTTCCCGTCTCCCTCCCAAAGTTTTTAGACAAACCAGAAGACGTTTTGCTAAAGCACCAGGCCAGCATCAATGAGCTGAAGAGGACGCTGAAGGAGCCCAACAGCAAGCTGGTTCACAGGGACCGGGACAGGAGGCTGCCTTCATCACCAGCCTCTTCCTCACCCAAGAATGAGGATGAGACGCCAAAGGGGACCCCGGAGAAGGCCAGTGAGGTTCGTTTTGTCCTGTCTTGTGAAGGGGGTTTTCTGTTGATTTGTGTCTGTGGTTTGGTGGGAGGCGAGTATAGTTGGTGCCCTGTGCTCTGCGCTACCCAGGAAAGAGTTGAGTGGAACTTGAGTAAAGGGTGTGCATATGGCAGCAGCCCGGGGTTGGCCTCCTGATTTGACCTCTTCCCTAGCCTTTGGCATTGCTTACCCCCAGACACCACAGGAAGTGCCACACCCAGGCATCTGAGTGAGGACTAAGCTCAACCTCCAGCTCATGCAGGGATTGGCCAACATGGCTCCATTGCTCCAGCCAGGGGAGCAGGTTGTGTAGCCCACCCTGTGGCTGGAGCCAGTGCTCCTATCTGGAACCCCCATTGGGTGTCTTGCCTCTTCCTTCCTGTCGTGATGGCTTCTCTGCTTGCTTCGGGGATGCCTACAGAGGAGTCAGGCCTGAGGACTCTCCATGGCCGATCTCCCCGTGCTTGCAGTATGGAGGGAGGTGAGCGCATAATGCCGGCTGAGCTGTCTCTGGTGCCAGCGCGCAGCTCTGTGCTAGATTCTGCATATGTCCTCCATGCATGACATGGAGCTGAGAAGCGGGTCCACTGGGCTCGCTGGGGTAGGCGGGGGAGAGGCTGCCTGTTTCTGGCTGATGTTGAGGGTTTCCAGCCCTCACTACCCCAGAAGTGCTGGGAGAAGGGTATGGTAGGCCACACAGGCGCTGTGCTTGCAGCTGATGCTCCGTTCTGTCTGCAGGGTAGCTCGGCAGATGGCTCTGTAGTGCTGGGATCTTGTACACAGCCCTTTGCGGTGTAAGGGGAACGGGGCAGCAGATACCGCGGCATGTTGAGCTAACCCCCACTGGGGCTGTGACCCAGAAATGAGGAAGGGCAGGTGAAATCAGCAAGCACTGTGCTCTGCTAGGCAATGGCTTGGACATTGACCTGTGGAGAAGCAGCTTGAGATGGTTTGAGAGCGGGAGACTGGCTGTTTCAATTAAGACACGGGTGAAAAGCCGCAGCAGGCGTCTGGGCTTTGCTGGTAAAGGGCGCCACCTGCCGTTAGCTTCGAGCATTGACTCCCTCAATTCCTGGCTGAGGACAGAAGACCCGAACAGCATCTAAATGACAAGGCCCTCTCTCTGTCCCCCCTCCCTGCCCCAGCTGCAGGGCCAGCTTTATCTTGGATTGGCTGCCAGATTTGTGCTTTGTCCGTACAGTGCCGTGCACACCTGTGGAGCTGTATCAGTACTGCTCGTAGCCATAATGGGGCTGGTGGTCCCCAGCCCTTTGACCTGGAGACGGGGAAGGGTTCTCTGAGCAAGTAGCCTGGGCAAGCCTCATACTGCAGTTGCCAGGACCGTGAGGCAGGCCCATTGCTGTCTCTCAGCTGATTTGAGGCTGTAGAGCAGCAGTGGGGTAAGGGACACAGGCGTTTAACCCAGGCTAAGGAGGTTTTATGGCCTGAGATCCCTCTGATGTGGGCTCCTCGTACCGAGTGCTGATCTCTGGCTGATCCTGGCACTGGGGTGTGTGGGGGCAGGTTTTGGTACCTAGTGGGGGTGGCTCAGCAATGAGGGTGGCTGAGAGGATGGGGGCAATAGCCTGGGGAACTATCAGCCATACCCAGTCGTTAGCCCTTGCCTCCAAATCACCACTAACAGAAAGCAAAACTTCCAAGTGGGGCCTTCTACCCACAGCTTCTACCTGGTATCTCCCTTCCTTGGGGGGTACCGCAGAAGCCTGGCTTCTCCTACAGCCCCCTTCTCCCAGCAGTTTCCTGCAGCTCTTTAAGGGAAACCCCATCCCCTTCTCAGTTGGATCGGAAGAGTGAGGAGGGCTGCCTAGCCTCAGGCTTCTGGCCCTCAGAGGGGCAGGCACCCTGGTCCATTGTACCTGTTGGGGAAAGGGTTCTGGGTGGGGATGCTTGTGACTGGTGGGGGAGTAACTACCTGCAGATCGGCCCCTCTGGCGCTCAGCCTTGACACTGCCCGGTGGGTGCTGGGCTAGATGGCTCTGTGCCCGGGCTCATGCTGGCGAGCAGGCCGCGGGGGAGCTGAGGTCAGCAGAAAGGAGTGCACAGCTCAGCAGGTCTGCAGTCACTGGCAGTGGGCCATTGGTCAGCAGTCACTGACGGTGGGCGGGGATGGGATTTTTAAACAAATGGATAAAGCACGAAGCCCCAGCTGGGGAGCTGGAATATTCATGACCCTCATTCATTCATTCATTCGTTCATTTATTCATTCGTTCTCGTTCTCTCTCTCTCTCTCTCTTTCTCTCTCCTTCCCCCCCCTCCTCCGGCTGTGGGTGCTCGGGCTTCCCTTGCTGAAACAGAGGATTGAAGAGGATTCCCTAGAGGAGTTTTCAGCCGAGCACGGAGCTGCCTTATCCATGGAGTCTTTCACCCAGAAAAGCCTTGCCTCTTCTCCTGAGGTTATCATCAGCCTTTCCATTTCTCTCTCTTTCCCCCACCCCCTCTTTGTCTCCGTTTGTTTACTGGACAGCCATTGCCAGGCTGTCTCTGTTTGTAGCCCCTTGTGTAATCCACCTCAGGGCCCCTGGGAAGATTTCCTGCCAATGCACCAGCCACGCGTGGGCAGCCAGTCAGCTGCTAACGAGGCATATTCTGAGCTGGTTGTCCCATCATAACCCAGTGATAAGGGGGTGTGTGTGGAGGCATAGACAAGTCCTGCACTGATCTCTGGAGCAGGGTTAGTAATCAATACTGACCTGGCAGCCTCTTTACGTTGTCTTAGAGAATACTGGCTTGGCTGCAGTGTTGGTGAGAGAAACCAAGCATCGAGGCTGAGCACTTCTTCCATCATACCACCTAGAGCTATGGTGTTGAAGCTGGTAATCTAAGCAGGGTTGGGTCTAGTCAGTTAGTCAGTGATCCAGAATAGAGCTAGGTGCTGTGCTGGAGCTGCT